TAACGTTTGGTGGTTTCGGCACTGCCATCTAACGGGGAGCAGCTCTACTACCTAAACAATTTAAGATAATGTTCTCTGTGGTATTCAGCGTGACATACGTATAGGTTTCTGTTCGCAAATAAAGAAACTTTTTTAGATACACCGCTATCCGAAATTAAGACACTATCCGAAATTAGGCTACTTTCCTCTACTTTGAATTTGAACATAAATAAATGTAAGGTAATGCGATTTTTCAAGAACAAACATCTGATTTCATTTGATTACCACATTGGACTGAATATTTTAGAAGTAATAACAACATTTAAGGATCTTAGGGTAATTTTTGACCGTACAGTAAGCTTCAGGGACCACTTTTCTTACGTTTCTTTAGAAACGTAAGAAAAGTTTCTTGGATCTCTACTAGATCCAAGAAACTTTTCGGTTTCATGAAACTTAGCCTCTCTCAATTTGATAATATTTATTGTCTCAAAAATATCTACTGTTCACTTATTAGATCAGTTTTGGAATATGTACGGTAGCAATATTTGGTCTTCTCATTATAAATGATACAAAGATCTATTAGAAAGAGGACAGAAAAAGTTCTTTGGATTTACTGCTTTTAAATTGAGAATACCTGTAAATGAAATCGAATACATTGTTTTGCAATCGAATTGCGGATACAATTGCCTACTGTTGAAGGAAGCCGTATATTGCTAGATATAGCTTTTATATATAAATTAATACGAGAAGGCATTGATGCTAGTGCTCTTTTGGAAAACGTTTGCTTTTGTACTCCCTGTAGAGACACCAGATCCCAAGATTTATTTTATTTAGAATTTCATATTCGAACTTATACTGTAAATAAACCCTTACCGTGAATGTGTAGAAATGCAACCAAATTTAATAGTGATTGATTTGTAAAAGAATGGCAAGTCCGTAAATAAACATTACATTACATTACAGAATGAAACGATGGAACCAAACACAAACTATGGAACGACAACTTCCTGGACGCACATTGAAAACAGACAGTTATCTCTACATAATAAGAAGAAGAAGAAAAAGAAGATATTGTGATAGTATTATTAATTATCGGCCTTATATCTTTATTTCATTTGTTTGCTAAGGTCTCTTAAAGCTGTTCCCTTTCACTATGTACATCACTTTGACAAAGATTTCTTCTATTCTCATGGGGATTCTCAATTATTTTAAGGGTTTCATCTGTTATCTAGTGTTATGTTTCACTAAATTATTTACCTTTGCGCAATTAATAAGTGTTGTTACACAATCTTTAATACTCTTCCATATTTCTTGTAATTTATCTTTACCAATAGAGGACATACTTTTTTGCACGTCTTGGAGAAGGTCGTTATTATTTCTTAGTTTTATCTCCTTTATCGATCTTCGTTTGTTGGGCGCTTTAAGTTTAAGCTTCACTTTAGCTCCAAGTAGAGTATGATCTGATCCACATATCGCCCCTGGATATGATCTGACTGTTTGGATTGATAATCTACAGCGAATATTAGTGAGCATGTAGTCCATTTAATTTCTAGATTTACCTCAAAGATTTTCCAAGTATAAAGTCGGCACACATGTTGTTTAAATCAACTAATCATAATAGAATAGTGATTTGTGATAACAACTTTCCCAGTTAATATTCTTTAAATCATCATTAGATGTAGTGTTGTCGACTTTTGCGTTAAAATCACCGCATATTAAGGTTAGCTCTTTATTTGAAATATTGGTAATTGTTGTTTCCAATTTTTCGTAGAATACCTCGATTGTTATGTCATCTGCTGTACTGGCTGGGGCTTAAACTTGTATGATATTGAGTTTATGTGGTTTGCGTTCCAGTTTAAAAAGAACTATCCTATCGCTTACGTCTTTAAATTCGACCAAAGACTTTTGTAATATTTGTGAGACTAGAATAGCAACGTATGTATAATTCTGGGTCTCACTGCCAAAAAAGTAAACATAATTGCCATTATATATTATAAAATAAGTCTTTTCTAACCAATTCATTTGAGCTCCAGATATTTTAATGTTATACCTTGGCAGCTCTCTTTCAATGATTGAAAGCTTACCTCTGATTGTCTTTAGCCCTTGTACATAAGTTCCATGTACCGACAATAATTCATTTTCTGAGTTTTAATTTCTGTGCACCAGTAGCTGAAGTTTCAGACGATGTCTGTTTTGCGTTTTGCACATACAATGACCTCAATATAACAATTGGGGTCACCATGCAGGGGGAGGGAATGTATTATGTTCAATCTAGAACTCGCTGGTATCCCCCTTTAGAATTGGGTATGTATATTCAAATACAAGAAGAGAAATCAAAGCCAGTGGACTGTAAAAAACTCTATTTAAAAAAGCAATGAAATTAAAACATAACTATATATATATATATATATATATATATATATATATATATATATATATATATATATATATATATAAGCAAATATACAATTACAACTAAAGACAATACATACCAAAAGACAACCATAAACCAACCAAAACAAAAATGTCGATTCTAATAAAAAAAACTACTGACCGAAAGCGGTAAAATAATTTCGTATATATACCACGTTATAAACATAAAAATATATTAAACATAAAAATATTGACCTATATATCAATGGTATAAAACCAATTCAATAAACTAAATTCAAAAAATATATCCGGTAATTAAATGGACATTAAATTAATAATAAAATTAATGCAATTAGTAAATTCATAAAGACACAAAAGAATAGTGAAATTAGTACAATCTAAAAAGTTGTAAATTAATAAAATTATTAATGCAAACCAGCAAACGTAAATATTTTTAACGGGCGACACAATGAAATATAAAGTTCAGCACAATAAAATAAAGTCGCAAAAAAATGTAAAAAGTTCAAAAACCGCGATACAATATGTGATATTTGGGCATAAAATACTTACTTGACTCATCCAACAACAAAGTATGGTGGATAGTGTATATGTACTTTACCCAATGAAATGATTCCAGCCACGTTGGGATTGCGAACCATCTGGTCCGGTGAAAATTCAGGAATCCAAAAACTCGCCTTTTTTACAAGGCTCAAGCGAAGTTGAGTGGCAGAATGCCCAACCCTCGCACCAAACCACGTGTGTGTCGTTTCGAAGACGAAACTCGACTATCCTTGTGTATGGAATGCAAACCCTTATCTTAGGTACACACACCATGTGGTGATATTTGGCAGATGGCTTGTTGAAAATGTATTTCTTAAAATGCATTTTTTCGTATAGTCAAATCTGGTATAAATATACTACGAAGAGCATCGAAACTAACAAAAAGGCTGTTCATATTTAATAAATGTTTATGTATCTTTGCGAAACTGCAACGCTCTGATCACTAATATTCGAGTGGCCGGTGGCCAATTTCGCACTCCTTGGTCCAGACTTAAGGTAGCACCGGTTGTCACCCGGACTGCGTGACATTATGCGAGGCATTCTCTTAGACATCATCTTTCTTGGGAATGATGATTCAATGTTAAAGGGAAGGGTATATGGGGATTAGATAAAATATATTCATCATCATCAATGGTGCTACAGCCCTATGAAAGAGCCTCGACCTTCCCAAGTCTATTACGTCAGGCAGTCCTATCCATTGCCAACCGTTGCCAGTTTGCTGCGCCTATCTTTCTACCATCCTCATCTACACCATCCTTCCATCTGAGTTTTGGCCTACCCCTTTTTCTGCTTCCCACGGGTTGTGACATAAGGATTCTTCTAGGAGGGTTGTTCTGCTGTGATCTTGCTAGATGTCCTGCCCTTCTATGTCCTGCCCATCTTAATCTTCCTATTCTTATAAGAGATACTACGTTTTTACCACCAAATATTTGTTTATATCTGTGGTATACCTCGTAGTTGTATCTCCTCCTCCAAACACCATTTTCACAGATGCCACCAAATATTCCTCTCAGGATCCTTCGTTCAAATATAAGCAAAAGGTCTTCGATTACCTTGGAGATGGTCCATGTCTCCGATCCATATGTCAACAGTGGCTGTATAAGGGTTTTGTATATAGTTATTTTTGTTTTTGTGGCTTAAGTTTCTACTTCTCATATGTCTACTCAGTCCAAAATAGCATCTGTTTGCTATTAATATCCTTCGCTTGATTTCTTCCGTTATGGCGTTCTCTTTGGTGATCAGGGAGCCTAAGTATGTGAAATTGTCAACCACTTCAAAGGTATGAATTTGTCAACCACTTCAAAGGTAAATAAAATATATTATTGGGACCTTTTTTCTACTAGGAAGAGCTTAGGAGAGAAACAATAGCTGGCGTAGGTGTAACTATTGCCCCACAGGCAATTTGTGTAAAATATTCTCAAAAGACATCTGCATTCAGCTCAAAACAAGCTCAAATTATTCCTTCAAATTTATATTTAGGTGGATTGTAATATTTGTGGAAAACGTAAATATCGATACTCCGAAAATTTTAATTATTGTATTATAGGGATTATTAAATAGTGAATAAATGGATTATAAATGTTTCTTTGGAGAATTGATAATAAAAATTTAAATAATTGAATGTTTAACCTCGAGATACATATTTCATTTTTGTGACTTGCATAACAGATCGAGTGTTGCTTTAACGTGCTATCGGATATTAAGAATTAGAGTACACATAATATAGTTTATTATAAAGTTTAAAATTTATTTCTCTCAATGTCTCTGTTATAGAATACCCATTTTGTTAATGGTAAATAAATCTCACGATCAATCATCACAAATATAAAGTATTTGGCTTGAATCAATGAGAGAACCGATTTTATTCGATATTGCAAATGTTCTAAATGAAATGTGTGTAATTTACTTACTTACCACATATGTTTAATTCTCAAGAATACGGATTTAAAAAACATGTACCAAAAAGTTTCTATTCATCCATTCACAAAGGAAATATAAAACTTAAGATACCATTATACTGTTTCCTGGTACTCTAATGAATTTGGGAAACCCTGTACAGACTTATCTTATTCCGTCCAGTAGCGTTAAAAGAACCGAACGTGTTTTGATCGTATTTGAATATAATCTCGCAAACAAGTTCAACAAATCCGTTGGCCTGATCTCAAGTCGTTTGCTTTTTCAGTATCAGGTTTGGCCGTTTTGCTAGGAAGTTTCTTTGTGAATACACTGTGCTAGATAACAATGGTAAGTATCAAGCTTTCTTAGTATTGTTTTCTGTCAAAATTTTAAGGTTTGTGAACGAATATTAGAAATAAAACAATAAAAAGATATTCTTAAATACCTTGCATATTTTATACAGGTAATTCCACATAATGTGGTTTTTGTTTATCAATTTTTAGCACATGACCTTGTCATGTTAAAAGTAATTAGGAAAATTTATTAGAAGTCGATGCGTATACAATATAATAATTTATTTACTCCTTTATCCTTAGTGTTGAACTTCGTTGATTATATTTATTACAATATAAAGTGTAGCATTAAAAACTCCTACAAAAGAATAAATAACATAAAAACTGCTTATGCTTCTTATGATTTCTTCTCCTATTGTAGTTTGTCTAATCTCGCATCTTTTATTATTTTATTGGTCGCCGGTCTGAAAATATCCCATTAGGTCCAAGTTTACTATTTTTACAGGTATTTTAAACAGAAAATTTTTCCCCTTTTTCTACATTTCTTCTTCATCTTCTTCACTACAGAGATAGGCTTTGCCTGTTCCGTATTCTTAACAGTATGATGACTATCCTTTTCGAGATCTTCCTACATCTGTCTTGCCTTTCGGATATAATTAAGTATTTTTGTGAGTAGTCTTTTATTTTCTGTCCTTTCCTCACCAATGTTCGCCACTATTTTTGTCTGATCTTCTTGATGTGCCTTTCCGTTACGAATGTTGGCGATCATCATGGCAATCTTTATCATATATGCAGCAGCGTGGAAAAGCTGAACAGATGTTGTATTGAATCAGATTCTGAGGTCCTTTAACCAAGATGTTCTTCTTCTTTCTGGACCTCGTTTTCCAAATATTTTTCCTTGCAGGATGGCTTAAAGGAGAGCATATCTGGATTCATTTCGCATAATATGTCCGAAGAATTGTATCTTTCGAGATTTGATAGTGGTCAGTACCTTTCGGTTTTTATTCATTCTTCTGAGGACCTTCTAATTTCTGACTCTGCACATATCTTCGTTCAAAGTCCACGATTCAACACTATAGAAAAGGGCAGAAAAGACGTAGCATCGCAGCATTCTTACTTTTGTATCAAGAGAGAGATTGTGACTTTTGAAGAAGGTCCCCATCTGATTAAAGGTGGATCTAGCTTTTCCGATGCGTACTTTAATCTCCTCGTTGTTAATCCTTTTTTTATTTATTATGGTGTCAAGGTAGTTGTAGTGTCTTCCTACAGGGTATTGGTTGACGTAGAGTTCACCTTCTGTTATCCTTTTCTTGCTAATTATTATAAGCTTTGTCTTCTTAACTTTATATCGAGTCCATATTGTTAAGTGTAATACGTGATTTTGTTCATAATGCAGGTCTTCTAAGTTGTCCACAAATAATATGGTATCATCTGCATATCTGATGTTGTTTAGCGGGTAACCATTTAGTAGAATACCTTTTTCAGTTTCGTGCAAAGCTTCTATAAATATTCTTTCAGAGTACAAATTGAAGATTAGAGAAGACAAAATACAGCCTTGCCTCAGTCCACGCATCATTTTCTAATAGTCAGTGTGTTCACCTTCAACTCTGAGATTTGTTGTCTGTTTCCAGTAAAGATTTCTAATTATTTTTAGATCTTTATATACAACTCCAGAGTTGTATATGTTGTTCTGTATGTTGTTCTGTGTATAATATCTTTGCGATTATTGCTATTGATTTGTTGTTCATTAGTTTAAGTAGTTCAGCTTGTATATTATCAGGACCTGCCGCTTTGACATCCTTTAACTGTGTTATTATTGCGGAATAAACTTCCTGCTGAAATATTCTTGGTCCATCATTTCTCTCTTCTTCTAGCTCAAAGGTGTTATCTCTTTGGTCTTCAAATAGTTTTTCTAGATATTCTTTCAACGTTCTTATTTTATTTTGTTTGTCCAAGATGATGTGTCTGTCAGAATCAGTGATATTTCCTTTTCGCCTTCGTCTTAGTCCCCCTATGAGTTATTTAAGGTTTCTATGTACATTATGACAGACCACAGATGAGGTGGAAAGATGACATCAGGAAACAAGGAGGTCCCACATGGCAGAGAACAGCTCAAGATAGGGAAAGATGGAGAGAACTGGGGGAGACCTATATCCAACAATGGAAGGATAGAGAATAGGTGAAAAAAAATGTACATTATGACACTCGTACTTTGACTGCAGTGTCCTAATTTCTTCGCATCTTTCCCTTGCTTCTTTTTCTTTTGCTTCTCCAATTTTCGTTCTATTAATATATTTTTGGTTTTATATTTGTCTGGGTCATTTTTGGCTTTTCTTCTCTCATCCATTAGTTTCAGGATCTTATCTGTCATCCATGATTTTTTCTTCAATAATCTATCTGTCTTTAAGTGTTTATCCTTTACATTTTGCACTATTTCTATAATATGTTTGATCGTTTCTTCTTCGTTCGATTTGTCTTTAATTGCAGTCACTTGCTTGTTTAACGAGGCTTGGACTCTCATCCTTGTCAAGGTCTTTCAGCATAAGTAGGTCGTATGATTGTGCTTTCCTTTTCTGGACTGTTTTGAGTTCTCTTAATACTCCCACCAGTGGAATGTGGTCTGCCTCCAAGTCTGCTCCAGGATAAGTCTTGACAGATGTAAAGCTGTTTCGGAATCTTTTATTTGTCTAAAATGTAGCCTATTTGATTCCTAATAATTCTCTTGGGTCTGTCTTGAGGAGACTTCCACGTGTACAACTTGCAAGGTGGTAATTGAAAGAATGTGTTGGTGACAACTAGTTCTGAGTCTTCTGCGAATTTTTCTAGGAGGTCTCCTCTTTCGTTTCTGACTCCAAGTCCATGTGCTCCAATGTACTGTGTCTTATCTCCAGCTCCAATCTTGGCATTAAAATCGCCCATAATGATAAGAACTTCCTGTTGAGGAATTTTCTGTATGATACTGTTGATGTTCTGATAGAACATAGATTGTTCTTCCTCCTCTTTGTCTGTCTGCAGTGGAAGCATAGACTTAGATGATGTTTATATTAATAAGGTTGGCTTCTACTTGCACTAACATCACTCTCTCTCTAATGTTGGTGTAAAGTTAGTAGCGCATTTGGCAACCTTGGGTGATACGATTATTCTGACTCCATTCCGATTTTGTCTGGTAGTACTAATGTTTTTTTTTTGGCTTTGTAAGATATAATGGGTCATTGTCATTCATTATTCTAATAATCTATATTCGGTTTCCAAGGTAAACACCCTGCATTTTTAAATGAGTTGTTTAATTATAAATGTATTATCGCTTCATGAGCACCCTTTTCAGAATATATTTTGTTCTTTTTGTATTAAGTACTTTAGTTAAAACCTTTAGTCCATTTCTAAGGATCTTTGATTATATTTTATGCGCAGTCTTTAGCAAATGCTTCTAAATACTGAGAGTGAAGCGTATACAGAGGAAATAAACAATAGGTTCTTTAATATGGCAACTGAGGATGATGTTGAAAAGTCATGGACCACCATAAAAGAATTATTTGATGAGGTAAACAACACTTTTCTACTCTAGAGTAAAACAACTGCCAATAATGAGTGGATGACAAAAGAAATATTAGAGATGGTAGAACAACGCAGGGGATGTAAGGCTAGGCAGGACCAAGTAAGGTACCGAAATATACACAGTCAAATTCGTAAAGAAATTATAGCGGCGAAGGAGACCTGGATGACTACACTTTGCACCGAGGCTGAAAACCTATATAAACTCGGCGACAGCTTCAATCTTCACAAGAAAACTAAGGAAATTGCTGGTGTCTTCAAGAAAAAACAAGTCACTAGTATACATAATGACCAAAATGAACTAATAACGGACCCTAGCGATATACTTAATACTTGGAAATTGTACGCAGCCAATTTGTTCAATGATGACAGAACACAGAAACTACCACAACTGGGAGACCATTTGTATGGCCCAAGTATTTTGAAAGCTGAAATTATACACGCTATGAAACTATTAAAAATTAACGAAACCCCAGGACCAGATGATATGTACGCAGAAATAATCAAGTTACTTAATGAAGAAAACCTTGACATTATTGTCAAGCTCTTTAACGACATCTACGATATGGGCCAGATTCCAAAAGATTAGCTTCGCTCTACATTTATCGCCCTACCAAAAACACCACGTGCGAACTTCGAACTTCTGCAAGTACCACCGACTAATAAGCCTAATGAGTCACTTTTTAAAACTTTTCCTGAGAATACTGCATACTAGGTTGTTTAAGAAATGTAAAGAGGTCAGTGGATGGAGTCAGTTTGGTTTCAAAAATGGATTTGGCACGAGAGAAGCGATCTTTAGTATGCAAACATTAATACAGAATTGTTTGGATCAAAGAAAGGATGTTTTTGTCTATTTCAGCGATTATGAGAAAGCATTCGATAATGTAAAACACGAATTGATGATAAAATACCTACAAGAGCTGGGATTGGACGCCAAGCATATAAGAATTATCGCCAATGTGTATTGAAACCAAACAGCAACAGTACGTCTTCAAAATTTCATTGAAACAGAAGATTTCTCCATTAAAAAAGGACTAAGGCAAGGCTGTAGACTGTCTCCAACGCTGTTCAATTTATACGTAGAAAAAGCCTTCGCAGAAGCAGTGGCAGACATTAATAAGGGTATTAAAGTTAACGGCATATTTATTAATAACATCAGGTATGCCGATAATACAGCCATAGTGGCAGATAACATTGAAGATCTTCAATGCCTTTTAAATGATCTAACTTTTGCAAGTGAAACTTGGGGTTTAAAAATAAATATCAAGAATACAAAAACAATGATTATAAGTAGAAATAATTACCCCAACGCAAAGATATATGTCTCTGGAGAAGAAATCGAACAGGTCAGGCAATTTAAATACTTGGGTTGTTTGCTGAACGAGAGTTGGGACCGTGAGAATGAATAAAGAGCAGAGTTGAACAAGCCAGAAATGCTTTTTTGAGGCTTCGTAAATTTTTGACCGATCGCAAATTGAACTTTAACCTTCGATACAAGATGCTTAAGTGTTACATGTGGCCTGTTCTCTTGTACGGAATGGAAGCATGGACGTTAAATGCCAGTTCCATTAACTGATATAAGGCAATTAAATTTTAGGACTGTTCGTTTTTCTCGTCAGAGAATGTAGAGAGTATCAGAGTATTAATATTAGGGTTGCGTAGATATAGTCAGTCGAATTTTTAGTACCAAAGCAAATTTTTCTGTGTTGAAATAAAACTTTAAAGTCACACTTGTTTATTTAATCTGAAAGTAATTTTTTGTACTGGAATTTAATTTTGTATTATTGCAAATCCGGAATCTTTCGCGGAAAGTAACTTCGAGATGTTCCAAACTTACCAATAATAGACGAGAGTTCCTAAGGGTATCCTCTCCATTTTTTTTTTTAATTTCCTTAACATTTATTTTGCAATGGTAAAGTCTGTCACAAAATTTGTTTTACTTATGTTTGCCAGCGAATGAAAAGTTAAGCATTTTGCCCTTTAATGTCTGTCTTGACAATGTCTAGTTATATTATTTTTAGTTTAAATTATATTTGTTTATTACAAATATTTTTAAACTTAATTTCTTTATTTTTTATACTATAAGTGTTATTCTATTTGTATAAAATCACCCCGTATAATATTTTCTCGAATATTCAATAATGTCCAAATTTGATAAGATAACCTGTTTAGGGTCACTAGATATTTATTATTGAAGAACACAAAATAAGACAATTCAAAGAAAATATGTCACACATTTTTTTTGATTTTTTAAAATCCAATGTAATTGAGATATGGTTTTGTTCGTCCATCGTTATTATTCATAATTTTAACTTCTGGGAGCTTATATTAAGATCTACGTTTGAAGTGCTTTGTGTGAGCATAGTCTATTTTCTTTCTGACTGTGTCATTTAATTTGCTATGGGCTGAGGTAACCAGTTCATTCGCATAGCCCAAGAAATGATTTAACCCCGTTACTGAATTTAGTTATCAACCCATCTCTTCAGCAAGCAGTGTATCCACCTACAGTTTGGTTCGATTTCCTTCAACCGAATGATCCTTGTAATTGCTTCGTGGGAGGTTTTATCGAATGCTTCCTCTATATCGGGAAATGCGCCCAGCATCACCTTGTAGTTTTCCAGAACAAACTCCACCGTATGTACATCTTTTGTTAAAGTGTCGCTTCCATAAACCATGCTGCTCCATTTGCCTATTTTCCTAATGTATCATACTTTCAATTATTACGCCACGCCTTATGTTTGTCAGGAGTTTTCAGTACTTTAGAGTTTAGTTAATAAAAGTTGTGCGGCACTGAATCAAAGGCTTTCTTGTAATTCATAAAAGCAGTAAAGAGATTCTTTTTTTTTAGTATACGCCTGGTTAGAAATTACTCAGTCAATCTTTTTACATCCCATGGAACCCTTAACGCATCCTTTCTATTGACCATCGTTGATATTGCTTAGAATACAGTGTTAGATATGTTGGGCTTCACATAATATACCTATTTATACAAAGTTGGAAGACAAATAATTGGCCGTTACTTGATTGGTGTAATTTGAGTTTTGGTACTTGATTTGATGAGTTAGGAATGGTGCTATTTTATGCTCATTAAAAATAACAATATTAATTAATATTGATACAAATACTCCAAAACTTCTTACGCCAAAAGTTTTGAACTTTATCAGATCCAGAATATTTTCAGTTATAAGGCTCTTTCATAATATTTAAGACTCCTTGAGTTGTGAAAGGTTCATAAGGAGTAGTATTGTTGTATTGGCAGATATTCGTCGTAACCTTGATTCATCTAGAATTAGTATTAAGCAGCTGGTGTGAAAAGTTTGTTTCCCCAAAACTCATGAATTTCTTTTTGACTTTAGTATTTATTGACACTTACTACAGCGGAATTGAATGACTGATAGAACGTCTTTTTATCATGCTCAAAAAGTGTATTTCCGGTTGTTACTAATATTATACTTCCTTAGTTGGCCTGAATAAACAAAAGAGTTTTTGTTTTAATATGCCCAGGCACTGTTGGATGATGTTGTTGTCTTCTCTTGCACTAATTCGCCTTATTTCTTCAACTCTTCGGATTACTTTTCTACTTTGTTATTCCTCGAATATATTCCGTGATTTGACTAATATCCCTACGCAATGAATCAATCTTCCTTATCAGCTTAATGTGAAGACTTCTACGTCATAATTGGGTAGGACTTACCCATTTGGGTAAGTACTACCTATTGGGTAGTACGTACCCAGTTTATTAGAAGACTTTATTTTGGTAAAGGTGGTCTGCTAAGGTGGTTTGTTCCAGTAAACTGTTGTATGGCACGTGCTATTGCGCGCCATTGCGTGCCATTGCAACTCGTTGTTTTTCTACTGTGTATTATCAGATCAAGTTGAGTTTCTTGTATGGCAAGATCAGGAATCTTTTATTATTTATTATATCCAAAAACTACATATCATTACATAAATCCTATAACAATATTACATACTACACTTGAGTGCAAAAAAATCGACTCAAAATTATTTTGCGAAATTTTGTTTCAATCAAAAAAGGTGTAAATTTGAAAACATTTAGTGTACAATTATTAACCTCTTTATTGAGTTTAAAAAAAGTTTTGATTTTTGGTAAATCGAGTGACTTATTACAAATAAATAATGTAACACGTAAAGGGGGGGTCTAAATTGGACCCATTGAAATCGACACGCACCCACTTAAAACATTTGGTTAACATCGTAACCATCAATGTCTGTAGGAACCCACTAATACATCAGTCAATTAAGTTCGCAACTTCATAACACATGGATACCACGTCCTTCAAAGCAGCTCAAGCAGTAGCATTATTGAGAGAAGACCTGAGCCAGAGAGCCGTGGCAAATCGACTAAATTTAAGCCAATCTGCTGTGACTCGAGTGTATCGTCGGTACCAAGATACTGGTGATTATGTCCGCCGACAAGGAGGAGGTCGTAAACGAATAACAACAGAGAGAGATGATCGATTTCTTTTATCTAAATCTCTGAGAAATCGACATTTGACTGGTGCTAATCTCAGAGAAGAGCTTAGAGAGGTCCGAGGTGTGGTTAAAAAGTTTGGACAGTCAGAAGGAGACTGCAAGCAGCCAACCTGACACCAAAAAGGGCAGCTACTGTTCTTAAGCTAACTGCAGCCCAGATGCTAAGACGACTAGAATTTGCTCGCGAACATCTGGATTGGGACGACTATCAATGGAGTCAGTTATTATTCTGCGACGAAAGTAGGATCTGCCTACATGGCAACAACAAAAAGCGTCGAGTCTATAGAAGGCCAGGGGAACGATTTGCTTAATGTTGTATACGAGAAATTGTGTCATATGGAGGCGGTTCTTGTATGTTTTGTGCAGGCATTTCAATGGATGGGAAAACCGAGCTAGTTTTCGTGCCTGGTGGAGGACGTGGAGGAGGATTAATGGATATTATATATAATAAAGCACGATGTCATACTGTACGAGTCACCACCGCCAATCTGACTGAGATTGGTATACCTACAATAAATTGGCCTGCTTTGAGTCCGGACATAAATCCAATAGAGCATATTTGGGATGAGCTAAACGAAGGGTCCGGAGCAGAAATCATGCACCAAGGAGCATAGTGGAATTAAGAGCTGCGCTTAATGATGAATGGGAAGCAATGCCTCAAAAATTTATTAGAAATGTCATCCGATCCATGCGAAATCGATTGGAAAGCAGTAATTAGGAATAATAGGGGTGGTAATATCAGATACTAAAAAAAAAAATTATTTTGTAATTGATGATTTCTCTGTTTATTACGTCTTTCTTGGGATAGTTCCAATGATGAATATTTGAGAAACTATGTTCATATTTCATATTGTTTTTATAATGCGTCTTTCAAATAATGAAACAACAGTTTTTGTAAGTTCAATAATAAAGTTACTGTTTGCATATTACATCTTGTTCTTTTCATACTTCTTACATTAAAACAGAAGGTGTAATCTCAAATATCGCTTTTAAGTCGATTGTTTTGCACTCAAGTGTATTATACTTATCAATATTTGTTTGTATTAATATTTATCTTGGCTATGTTACTTTTTAGGTGTTTAAAGGGAAATTAATTATTCAGATTTTTCTGATTTTATCTATAAGTATATGCACACTTTGTCAGATATTATTTCCGGAGCTACCTACGCAAAGACTGGATAGCGATCGAACAGAGGTAAATTATATTATTTAGTATATTATGGGTGATATGACAATATAAGGTGGTATATTAGAGACAAGAAATTATTCTAAGAGTAATCGTTTGAGATGCCTACTTTAAAATTCAACAAGGCATTAAGTAAATAGTAAATAGAAAAATATTTTAATAAATGTATTTACTTTTAGGAAAGAGTACCCCTTTATGCACCAAATAAATGTCCAGAAAATCAACTGTATTATCCTGGAAACCAAAAACATGACTGGATTTGCGATTGTGGACCAAGTAAGTACAATTCTGTCAGCATTTTAATTTAACTAATATTTGAAAAGGTTCCTACTCGAGAGGTTCGATGGTGGAATTTCAATAAGCAAGAGAGGAAGTAACAAGGAATGTTCGGGCAGCATTCCCTGCTTTTTAATGTATGCTGATGATGTAGTGGTAGTTGGAAATATGATCGGAATTTTATGAAAGAACTGGACCAGTGGAGACAAATGTCTGGACAAAATGATTCAAACTTGGTAGAACAAAAACAGAGTACCCATAGTATTGTTTAAAGATGAAGTTACCACATGTTATAGATAGTGCATGTATTAGAGTTAAATGGGTTTTGGGTGAAATCATTGCAGATAAGTAATGAAATTAAACGAAAAATTCTATAAAGCTTCCTTAAGACGAAGAAGCCAACCCCGCAGAGAATAAAGCAAACAAAATTAAATTTGTCAGAAATATTGATATTATCTACTGTATAGTTAATATACTATTTATGTGATTTTAGCCTACATCTATTACCCTCCAAAAGATTTTTGTTATCCTGCATACCGGCAAGGACCTTGTAAAGATGGCGAACATTTAATTGTGCGAGGAGGAGATGTCATACCAAGTTGTAACAAAAATCCATGTGAAGAAGGATTTGCCAGGTAATAATAGAATGTATTTGTACAGCTATTTTTTATTTATATGGATAACCTTGTTTCTTTTTTTGCCAATATATTCCTACCAAATAATTCTACAACCCAATCAAAAAGCTTTTAACGTATTTTAGATTATTCTATTTACTTTTTAAAGAAAATTGCTTGCGTGGGAGAAGCTAAAGTTCCAACCAACCAAAGGAAAGCTTAGATAGATAGATAGATAGATAGATGGTTTATTAGTAATAAATTAATACAAAAGTATTTTTTACAAGTCAAATGGCCAAATGGCAATTACTGAATGGCCTGTTTTAAGCCCTATTTTAAAACCGCAAAGAAATTAAAGGTGAAATAAAAAAGCAAAACGTATATGATAAGGTTACAGAGATATTCTTGTCGTATAAGCCGCTCATGACATCTTTAGGGGTTTTCGTCTTCGTGGCACTTAGGATCGGAAATATATGTATAAATCGGTTCTTACATAATTTATTGTTACATCTCACAATTTACAGATTCCCGGTTATTGATTAACAACATATTTAGTTGACGATAATACACAGTTAACTTTGAATTCGTCTGGTGTGACTATTTACTACGAGTAACTAGGATTACATATGTTTAACACAATAAACTATACAATAAATTATTATTACTGACCTCAACTCCTTGTTTACTTTTACATTATATCAATCTCTGATGAATCGCCTCGTTACTGGAGCAATTATTGATATTATTTTGCTTACCTTGCAAGTTTTCGCTTTGCTGCAACGAATCTGTTTTTGTAACAGACACGCATATGTTATTATAATGTGTGCTCTAGATTTCCAATTGCCCTAATAAAATTTGATAAATAGTTAGTTATTTTATTAAAGTTTTCTTAAATCGTTTTATTGATCTCAATATTCCTAGGATATATATTTTATATAAGAGATCATTCTCCCACCCACTATAATCTTTCAAATATTGTGGCAAATAACGAACTCTTTCAGATCTTCTAGCAGCTCCCAAAGGAGGCGATAAGCTTCGCTAAGAACACGTTGGTGGTCTTTCAAGAAGTAATAAATCTAGCGGAGGAGAAGATATAGACGTATCTGCCTGGGGCTGCATTGAAGCTTGAATGTACCTCATGAGGATCATCTATTAACACTGATTCTTAACCTGGTATGTCCAGTATTTCTCTTTTACATTGGTTTTTTGTAGTCAGATGACGATTAGACTTTGTAGTCTCCCGTTCAGTTTCACAAAAGACTACTCAGAATTTGCCTGTACTACCTCCACTTTGCAGGAAAGCTGAATAGCCTTTTAGACAGTAAAATTCAGCTTCTCTACTTGACTATTTCCTTGAGGGTTACAATCAGTAGTTCTGCTTGTTGCCATTCCTCCGGAGTTTTCTTTGACATCAGCTGATAGAAATTGAGTTCCGTTATCCGAATGGGGATATGCAGGCAGGCAGAGATAATACATTTAATATGTTAAAAACAACTAATAAACAAATAAGTAAAGTAGATTTTTAAACACTTCTAAACAAGAAAAGCGTCTATATAGTACTGAAGTTCTGTTCAAATAATTATGTTTTTACCTTTTATTTTAAGAAAGTACTCTAATTTGCTTATTTTTTACAGATACAAAGGAAACTGCTACGAAATGGGAAAACCTAACGGACCATGCCTCCCAATTCAGCAAGGCGGTGGTATTTTTGACGTAAACGCTACAACACTTGTCGTCGAATGTCTTAAAGGCACTGACAGGCTGTCATTACTAACTTTGCCCAAATTTTGCATGCCTGGAAGTAAAAGAGACAGTAACGGCAATTGTAGAGTCATTTACAACTAATAGAAACAAACGTTTTTAGGTCTACCAGAGTATTTTTAGTTGTATCCGTCAGATCTACAGAATTGTTCAGTTAGGTGTCACTTTCAAAATTAACTGTAATAATAAGCCGTTCAAAAAGTTTTGCAATTTGATAAGAAATACACAATTTTATGGTTTAAAATATACATTATTATTCAGTATAGTCTCCCTGAACATTAAGACATTTGTTTTAACGAAATTTCAATTTATGAATTCAATACCTGAAGTGAGAATCTGAAAGGGTTGAAAGATAGGCTTTAACCGCTGTTATGACCTCACCATTTAATGAAAAACCTTTTACACGCATAATATTTTTAGATATTAACAGATAGAGGTCGCTAGGGGCCAAATTATATGAATTCGGTAGATGCTCCAACAATTCAAACTTTAATTCGTAGATATTAGCCATTGTCAAAATGCTCATATAATACGTTGTATTGTCCTGATAAAAAAAGGAACTTTTTCTTTTGCAAACCGGGTGTTTTTTCATGATTTTTTTCCTTCGGCTGATTTGAGAGGTTGCAATATTATTCAGAATTTATTGTTTTACCAGCTTGCCACAAGTAATCCACAAACAAAATTTCTTTCGTATCCAAAAAAACTAATGCTACCACCTTCTTGGCCGATTTCTAGGCATGAACTCGTTTTTGAGTCGAAGACCCCGGTTTACACCACTATTTAGCCTCTTGTTTTGATTCAAGAGCATGATGATAGATACAAGTCTCATCAATAGTGATAAATCGATGGACAAAATCACTTTATTCTTTTAAAATGCTCTAAATGTTGCTGGGTCGCATTCGAGTGTTCCATTGTCAGCGAATGTAGCAATCATTGTAAACACAGCTTTCTGAAACCCAAGATTTTAGTAAAAACATTGCTTAGGATAGCTTTACGTCTAGGCCATACAAGTCTGATGCTATGCAAGTCCGTCTTGCGTCGCATATCTCTTGCCTAGCCTGATCTGTTCACATCAGAGCTACTTCTGTCCAATTTTAAGAATTTGAGATGCCACTTTCACTGTCGTCATGTAGCCAACAGGAAAAACATTTTAAAACAATAAATTTAGATATTTTACTTTAAAATTTTATTTCAAAATTAAATATATTCAAATACTTATAAATAACAAATTATTACATCAAATAAATAACATTTACACTATTACAATAAGGTTTAAGTTTTGTTTTAAATCATAAATTTTGTTATATTTTGTTATATAACATGAATTTGGACGATAAATTGCATCAAAATAGCATGAAAAATAGAACACGTTCTAATTTTTCGTCTAGCACAGATATTACTTGAAAATATTGCGTGGGAATGCGCAGTTACATAATCTGTCTTGCACATCTCTTGTCTAGCATGAAAATGGCATATTGTAAAGTCGACTTTATACTGCCCAATAAGGTGCTACTACTAAATCGCTTTCAGTCACTTGACAAATTTTCAATACGATATCCGTTATTTGTTTCTACGATTTCTCATGTTGTTGCTAATTTTGGACGTCTATCACGTGGATCGTCTTCAAAGCTTGTACGACCATATTTTAATTCAGAAATCTTTCTACTGTACTAATAAGTGAAGGCGTACCGTCCTTATACACTTTCAACATTCGTTCAGAAGTTTCCTCTACTTTTAAACCTTCCAAAAATAAAAATTTATTCACTGCACAATACTTGATTTTTTCCATTGTAAAAAATATTATGACATGTCGATCCTAAATGGCTTTTAAACGAACAATGAATAAATAGATTGAAATGAAACTACACACACACACGTTTATACAAAGAGTGTATCAACATAATAAAAAAAATTAGTCTGGTAGCAGTGCCCTCTCTTATCGAACCCCAAAACTTATCAAACAGTAATTTAAATCATGAATGTGTTGCTTGTGTGAGTCCATATCAAATAGGTAAAGAAATAATAATAAAACTTACTCACAATCAATTTAATTTAACAATCTGACGACCGGTTTCGCTTTCTACAATTTGCAAAGCATCTTCAGGTCGAGATACAAAGTTAAACTAATGATGCCGGTACTCTATTAATTGATGGATGGTAGGTCATCGTTGCAAAAATCATGTATTGTTGATTGGAGAACTTTAATGTGCTATTGCAGTTATTTTGACAATAAACGGGAAGTTCTTGAGGAGAACAGATTTGATCCAATGAATTAGAGATAGGTATATTGTGGTTGTTTGTCAGATGAAAGTGATGTTCTTTACTATTGTATTGTTTAAATTATTTACACTTATATCAGAGATATATTTTTTGGAATGTGTGTTATTTATTGAGTATTTATGTAATGAAGGAGACAGTTTTATGACAATGAATAAGAGTAGCTGTACCGAATGTGTGGTTGTGCAATTATTTTGACTTATAATTATCAAGTCTATTGGCAAAATTAATAAATTATTGTAAAGTCAACTATGTAAAAGGTATATAAAAAGTATATAAGATTATTATAAATTAAGACGATCAGGGACAAATTAAACACACATTAACAGGAACAGAAACACTAAATGACGGGACAAACATTGAATTTAAAACTTAAACTTGGGGATGGAAGAAACTGTAAGCACTACATCTCACTGTTGGAAGAAATGAGAAATGAAAATCATTTCATAAATACTCAATCATCATTACATAAATACTCAATAAATAACACACATTCCAAAAAATATATCTCTGATATAAGTGTAAATAATTTAAACAATACAATAGTCAAGAACATCACTTTCATCTGACAAACAACCACAATATACCTATCTCTAATTCATTGGATCAAATCTGTTCTCCTCAAGAACTTCCCGTTTATTGTCAAAACAACTGCAATAGCACATTAAAGTTCTCCAATCAACAATACATGATTTTTGCAACGATGACCTACCATCCATCAATTAATAGAGTACCGGCATCATTAGTTTAACTTTGTATCTCGACCTGAAGATGCTTTGCAAATTGTAGAAAGCGAAACCGGTCGTCAGATTGTTAAATTAAATTGATTGTGAGTAAGTCTTATTATTATTTCTTTACCTATCAGTAATTTAAACTTCGTACCGAGGATAAGATATTTTTTTATGTAGTGGTATGATAATACTGGTCCTCTACTGGTCTAGAAAATGCTTGCTATTTAAAATGTACTGAAAAAGACTGTTTTCGACTATAACTGGATAAGGATAGTCTATTTTTTAAACGAAAATGCATTATTTCTTAAAGTATTCGTAAAAATTTAAAACTAGTTCTTAGGTTTATGATTAACAGGTCCCTCCCACATGATATATATATATATATATATATATATATATATATATATATATATATATATATATATATATATATATAGGAGAGTAATAAAAAAGAAATACTTGTGACTCGTTTGAAAAAAATATAAAACTGTTTTGGATGGGTTGGAGTCAATAAAAGGGGCTATTTGTTGACTATTTGTTGTTGACTATTACTCGAGTTTTCAATTGTGATTACAATTTTTATCAAGAGCTTCTAAAAAATACAAAACAAAGTTGAACTAGAAATAAAAAATTTTGTTGTTAACTCACCAAATAAAATTAGTTTTTTTATATAAAGCTGCTGCTAACATTATTACAAAAAATATTATTTAAAAAATGCCCTATTCTGATAATTGTTTCTCTGAAATTAATTTTGATAAAGTTTCTTAACAAAAACAATTGAATTTGTTAACAAAAATTTAATAGCTACAATTCAGCCTAAATGTCGTAAATACCAACTTAAAAATTTTTATTTTTGACATAGTGTCAAAAATAAAATTTTGTTTAAAAAATTCTTTTTTGTTTAGTAACAAAAAAGAAGAAGATTTATTCACCATTGATAGATGTCTGAAAAAATGTAACAAATACATGGAAAATTCAAAATGTGAAATTTCAAAATTCTTGTGCTTTGGCAGAGCATGTAATAGACAAAGACCATATTATGGATTTTAATAATATTAAAATTTTATGTAGTGAAAGTGATAAATTTAAAAGAACTTTTTTGGAAATGGTTTGTATTAGCAAAAGTGATAATAATTTAAACAAAAGGTCAGAAATTCAAAATCTAAGCAAAATTTATAATTATATTATTTCTATGTAATTTATATATGCAATCAGTAAAATATCAACAAATACAAGTCAATACAACAAAAAATAGTCAACAAATAGCCCCTTTTATTGACTCCAACCCATCCAAGAATCATCTCGTAAATTTCACAGTAGGGTGATCTCACATCGCAGCGACATAAAATCCAAAAAATTAACGCATGCGCGTTGACAGAACATGCATTAAGTTTAAAACATAAATTTCATTTCGAGGATTCCTGTATTTTGGCAATGGGAAAAAACCATTCTAAACGTGTTTTCTTGGAAATGTGTTTCATAAAATCCAATACGTCTTGTATAAATAAAAAATCTGATATAGCTAAACTGAGCAAGATTTATTGTTACTTACTGACAAACATTTAAAAATAAAACAAAGACTTACTTGTACATATATACACCACAATACACCTACATGCAAAACAAGTTGCATACCATCAACACAGGTTTAATACATTACTTTCTATTAATATAAAATATGAAGAACACCTAATTAATTTTTAATACTATTTACATACTATTTTTGTTTTTTTTTCTTTCGATTCTCTATGGATCAGTCAAAACACACCATTAAAAGATGTCACAAACGAATTTTTACTATCTTTAACCAAATTTTAAAATGTATTTTGTCCATTATTTTGTATGTTCCATTTTATATGTGTGTTATTAATGTTGAGTGTCATAGCTTTATACAAATAATCTCAACGACTAGTAAGTTGCACTGACATGTTGTGATATATTAAGTATTTACACATTTTTCTTAGACCAAAAGTCAAAAGAGTGTTTCTGTAATATCCCGGCCAAACTTCTGACTGCAGCCCTAATAAACTTTGTTGTTTGTTTAAATCGACAGTCACTAATTATTGTATGTATATATATATACATATATATATATATATATATATATATATATATATATATATATATATATATATATATATATATATATATTGCTATGATGTTTTGTTTGTGTATGAGCAATGAGTATTTTAAAATAACATATATAAGTATAGGGTTTTTATCGCGGCTTTCAAAGAATTAATTTGTTAGTACTGTTTTAAATTATCTTTATTATAACTATTATGAAACACACATATATATATATATATATATATATATATATATATATATATATATATATATATATCTAATATAGACAATATAAATTTAGAGCAACCTATCTTAAATTTGTAATTCTTACAGTAATTAAATAATATTAACAAAATTTGGTACCTTTCTATCTCTGAATGCCTAAATGAATGTTTTCCAAAATAAAGGGTATAATCACCACTCAATACCTTCTTTATCAGACTCGATTATCCTTGTTTTTGTGAAATTGCTTTTGCCAAATATACCCTAATGTTTTAATTATCAGCCATCAATTTAAAATATTTTTCTTTATAGCATTTATAAATGGGCAAAATATTCTTTTTATTTATTGTTTCTTCTTTGATTCTTACTTATAATCTTATTTTTTCTACTTAATAATCTCCAATCACCATATAAATATTATAATTTTAAATTCTTCTAGTCTCCAGTCTCCATATACATACTGAACTGTATAATTAAAACTCTAATACTGATCACTGTATATTATATACTATGAACTGCTTGTACTATTTACTGACTGACTAACTTCTTAATAAATTTACTAACTAACGGTCGAACTGTCTCTTGTTTAACTTCTTAATTAACTAACTCTATACTATCTTACTGTAACTGTTAATTGTCTTAATTTATTCTCACACTGTCTAACTTATTACTGTCTAATCCCAACTCTCATACTGTTATACTAACTGTCTAATCCCCCCTTGCTCCAAATTACATCGTATTTTTCATTCAATCATTATGCTAATTTCTTAAAAATACTCTTATATAAATATTTTTTATAATATTCTATAGTCTATAAATTATTTCTTTAATCACTATTTAAGATTATTAATTAAAAATCATAATATTATTATGCTAATTTCTTCTATATCTATTATTTTTCTCAATATATATATATATATATATATATATATATATATATATATATATATATATATATATATATATGTATATATATATTCTATATATATATATAATATATATATATATTATATATATATATATAATATATATATATAATATATATATATATATATATATTGCTAAATAAGCTGGAGGGTGTCTTTGTATACAGCTATATGTTTTGGATGACCAGGAAGACGAGCGTTTCAAAACAGAAAGTAATTATTGTAGTTATGTGGGAGCCAATGATGCTTGATTCGAAATAGTTATTGTATCTCATGTAAAGATCCACAGTGCTTAGTTTAAAATAAGGTTAACTAAAAATTGACGGTTTAATATATCAAATAATTCCAACAAAGCGGAGTGGAATTTAGAACGAATATTAAATTGTAAGGTATACAAGTATTCTCTCTTTATAGGAAGTATGTAAGAAAAGATAACTTTTTATATTTAAAACATCTGTAAATATTTATTTTTATACAATAAAAAATTAATATTAATTGGTGTTTGCTTATTATTTTGGTGTCTTCCCAGCGCCGGATATAGCGCAGGCAAGCCAGGCGATTGTCCGGGTGCCAAATTTTGAGGGGCGCCGATATAAAAATAAAAAATTTTTTTATATTCATTATTTTTTATCTTTTGTAAATGAAAATTGATCATTTTTTATGAGACATTATTTGAATAATGGCATTATTATTTATAAGAAAACTCTATATAGCCAGAACTCATAAAAAAAATTTAATGAAATTAATATATCAAAATACCTTCGTTGTTCGAACTTCAAATGCGTTCGTTATGCTGTTCACACATCGCTTGTAAGTAAATAACTATTGGATTATTTTTCAAATAAATAGAATTTTATACAGTTCGTTATTATGTAATGTTTATTTTTTGCCTTTTTACTTTTGTTTTTTTAATTTACGGTAAATTTATATATTCTTGTATGAAAAGGTGCCTCGTTTGTTTGTTTGTTTTCCTCGGGTGCTCAATAAAAAATTTAAGGCAACTACAAATCTATAAAGCAGTCTGAATGGTGTCATATTAACAACAAAGAAAAGATGTATTGAATCAATAGGTGGTATAATTGGTAATTAATAAAGGAAGGAGAAAACCTGGAATAGGAAAGAGGTGAGGCAAGCGGAATAATTGAGAGGGAAGAGGAACCACCAACGATTCTTGAAGTTTAAGATGCATTTAAAAAACTAGCCAAAAACAAATCACCCTAAATAGATAATTTAATGAACTTAACTGAACTATAAAAAGAAGTAGTAGAAGAAGTAGAGCTGTTGTAGCGTTTTATGATATAATGGCTCTACAGCAGCTCATAAAAGAAATATGGATACACAAATCGTTTCTTAATGATTGAAATATTGAAATACGTACACAAAAAAGGTAATATATTTGAATGCTCTAATCACAAAGGAATTGGGCTTCTAAATGCAGCATATAAAATAGTATCCACTATACTTTATCCATATCATAATTAGGAATTAAGCTTCTAAAACAAGAGGAACTATCATTAATGGGAGTGTACAAATACTGAAACTGAAAATGAAATAAAGTCATTTTGTAATAACCATCTCAGTTTCGAACTAAGGCAAAGAATGGTTAAGTGCTATGTTTGGTCTGTACTTTTGTATAGTGCAGAAATGTGGACGCTAAAAGTATCGATCATAAACAAAATTGAAGCATTGGAAATATGGGTTCATAGACGAATGCTGAAGATACCTTTGACAGCAAGAAAAACTAATGAAGAAGTACTAAGGAGCGTCAACAAAGACAGAGAACTGCTAAAGACTGTTAAACATCGAAAAATCTCTTATCTGGGACATATAGTAAGGGGAAGTCGATATAAAATTTTACAACTGATCCTTAAAGGCAGAGGGCCATAGAGGTGTAGGAAGAAAACAAGTTGCTTGGTTAAAAAACATTCGTGAATGGACTTAGATACCAAATGAAGGACAATTATTCCATTATGCAGAAGATCGAGAAGCCTTCGCAAAGGTGATCGCCGTTGTCGGATAATTCTGATATGGCACGCGAAGAAGAGAAGAAGTACAAATTCTAGCGTATGCGGATGACATCCATATCAAAGCAAGAAGAAAGGCGGACCTAGTCCAATTGTTTATGACATTGGAAGCAGTAGCAAAAATAATGAGGCTAAACGTTAATAATAGTAAAACTATATGAAAGTGATAAATAATAAGCTAGTAGCAAAACCCAAAGATCTAGCGGTTGGAATATATACTTTTGATGGAGTAAGAGAGTTCATATATCTCAGAAACCAACCAAAGTTAATACAGTAACTACAGAAATCAACAGACGTATATATCTAGTAAATAGAGCATACTATGGATTAAAGAAACTTTTAACATCAAACATAGTCATAACAAGAACGAAAATATTGATATACAGAACGCTTATCAAGCTCGTCCTTACTTACGCGTCAGAAACGTGGATGATAATAAAATGATAAAAAGCGATGAAGAACGGGATTTATAAAATATAGATGTACCGGATAACGAATTATGGCGTAGACGCTATAATTTTGAGCTTTACCACCTTTATAGTGAACCTTATATTGGTAGATCCATCAAAATAAACAGGTTGCGGTGGCTAGGACACTTACAGAGAATGAACAAGATGAAGCCGTCGAAACACATTTATGACCAAAGACCGGATGGAGTAAGGAGAAAAGGCAGGCCCAGAGCACGATTTAAGCACCAGGTGGAAGACGACATACAAGTATTAAGAGCACGTAATTGGAAAACCAAGGCCAATTATAGGAAGAAATGGAAGCTAATCCTAGAACAGATACTATGGGTTGTAGATTGTAGAGCCAATGATGATTTCCTCGCGATGCTGATATTGGTTTGCCTTTTGTTGCAAAAGCTCTTTATAATACCTATTTTTCCAGTGTGTCTTCGTTCACCATTTCACGACTAGATATTTTGTTGTCTTAGAGCGGCTTCAGAAAAATGAAATTTTATTTCTAATTTAAAACAATCATCATTAAAAAAAAATTGGTTTCATACATTTTTTAACAAATACAGTCGTCTAATAAACTTCAACTATTTAGTGAATCCGATCCTGAAAATCCAAGCTTCTAATCGCAATGAATCTCATAATGGCATTAGACAAAAATTAATTAGTTGCACAACATCCAACAAGTATTGTTTTCAAAGTTATAAATAGTACATAGCGTTGATTGCTCCCTGAATATATTCAGTATCTTTTTAAGACGCCTACAGTAAGTAATTGATTGGAAATTTCGCTCATCTACCGTTCGGTGACGAGTAAAGCTCCTGCACCAAAGAAGAAAATATGAATATCGCTGATCCGTTTGTGTCTGTGGAGTTTGAAGTTTTTGGAAAAGTTCAAGGTAAGTTACGAAAATGTTTTAAAATTATTGAAGTGTTCGTTTAAAAACTAACCAAAACAAAATAGGTACTGTGACACTAACAGTGATACTAAAAGTGATAAAGTTTAATATATAGAGGGTTCACAAATATAGTGCCGTCATTATCTTATCGGCCTCTTGAAAATGATGGAACGTAATAAAAATAATGTTGCTTTTAAATCTTCTATTTTTAAAAATTTGTAAGATATCAGAACCGACTTAAATCCTAAGCAAATATTTCTGCAAATTTTTAAGGTTCTAAATTTTAAGAATTTGAACATGGTAAACTACTTTTATAATCTACACTACATCGTCCAAGTAAAACAACCAGTTGTAAAATAGTCTGTGAGTGAATAATTTGTTAAAAGTTGTGATATTTAAAGAAATATTTTTACAATGTGGTTTCCGTGAAATTGTGATAACTATAACACAGAAGAAGCTCCTGTTGTACACGCTGCCGTTGATCATTGTCATTTAGAAGGGTATGCTCCCATAAGAGGAAAAAAATAGTATAGTGTTTTTGAACTTTAATGATAAGATGAGACTTAACTGCCACTCATATTCGGACACTGATTTCAAACGTTTGAAAAATTATTAACAATCCAATACTTCCAAAATTAAAAGAACTAGAAGTGGCGTTTCTAGAAAGATGAAGACATAACTTGTGTATAAAGTGTAAAAAGTGTACACAACGTATAAAGAACAATTGGTGCCAACATTAGACAATCCTCTTAACAACTTCAATTCAGATGACCCTGGAAGTAACTACGGCAGAACAAGTTTGTGGAATGTTTGGGGCCCATAGGATTTATATTTAAAAAAATAAACAAAAGGTAAAAAATTATGGAATCCCATCGTCTACGCATCTGGTGAACGGAATATTTAAACAAAATAAAACTTTTATTTAAAATTTTTTAACCAAAAAAATCTTTATAAAAGGTACATTTATTTAACAGAAACCTTTCGGGCTACATCAAAGAACGTTTTCGGAATGACTATCACACCATCAGTGCTGCTTCTAAGTATAGAAGATAGTATTGCACCTTTTGTCAATTTTTAGTTTTTTATTTTTATAACATTTTGAAATATATGTTCGCAAAGTTTATTAAATGCATTGATAATTCTAATTATTTGCTAATTACAATAGGATTATTTAACTTATTAGTAAGTAAAAAAAAAAACATTTCAGTTAGCCCTTGAAATTTGACCAAAGGTACAAGCTGGTAGTGTATCCTGGACCAACATATGTTGTACATTGGGTCGTTTATGAAAAAAAAAATAGAAATAATAACATATTGTACAAAATATTTATTCAAATCGTAAAATAAACATGAATGGACTGAATAAAGTTGCTAAAGAGGACATTAAACTGTAAGTCCTCTTCATGACGTGTATTTCTGTGGAATGTTGCGTACAATATCACTGCCCAAAAAAGTTGTAAGTTGAGTCATTTGTACACTTGTTTATCTTAAAATTTTTGAATATTCTAAGTATTTAAGTTCATTACTAGCCCCGTAATTTAGAATTTTTCACTAACACAAATTCCCCTTCCTTGTATATTTCTTAGTCATTTAATAATTCTTCCTGTCTAACTACTAAATCCTTAATTGTTTCTCTATAACTACTTGAACTTGATTCTCTACCATACCTGGTAACTTTGGGGCGTTTCTCAACACACGTTCTATCGCTAATCTCTTAGTTACTGCCTACACTTTCTCAGATGACGTCTTAGCTAGAGTATTTCTTTTTAAGTTCCGCTTTTTCATCTTTCTCTGGATTGTCGGTAAGTATACGTGACTTTCCTCTTGTTCTTCCTGATTTAATTTTTTCAGATCAAAGGATTAGAGACATGTAGAAGACGGTCTGTTATAGATGATGAAAAAAACTCACTCCCTTCAAAAATATTTTCATTGATTGGATAGACACCGCTGACTTCAAAACCCTTCTGGATATTGGATGTAGTAAATGCTTTTGGAAAAGCCTTACCTACCAACTCAGCTACATCATAAATTAAAATGGGTTGTCCAAGATACATATTCATCCACTCGTTGCAGGTCACATTATAATATGTTTTCATTGATTCAAATACTGTTCTGTCGAGCAGTTGCATTTTATGGTTGGTATCAGGTTGAAATTTTATCGGAATAATGCCGCTTTTCTTACAAAAACTAATGACAATAACATTGACATAGCTATCGTGATTATCCAAGAATAATATGACTTGAATATAGATCTTCAACTGTGGGTTTCACGTGATTTTTAAAATGTTGTTAATATTGCAAAAACAATATTTTTTTGACCACCCGGATGAATTACTACCTCTTATGGTTCCAATCGGACAAATATTTAGCATATTATGTAGCCTAAAATTCATCCTTTGAGATATCATTATTGGTGTAATGTGATTGCCAATTACATTTATTGGAGCTACTAGACCTAGAGTAACGTAGATAGATTTTAATAAACCACAGATGCCGAAACGCAATACAATCGGTGAAAGCGTACCCAGGTGCAGACGTGGCGTCGGACCACAATCCTCTTGTAGCAAAATTCCAACTGCATTTAAAAAAGATACAAAAAAGCTATAAAAGTGATAACTCAAACATACAAAAATTAAAATCAGAAGACATCAAAGAAAAACTTAAACAAGAAATTAATGCAAACCTAGAATCCACACCGGAATCAATTTATGGTGATGTAGAACAATAGTAGCAATTCTTTAAAAATGCAATTATCGAACCAAGTCGCAGAGAACTCGCAACAACCAGATGCAAGAAAGCAGATTGGATGACACAAGAAATCTTGGAAATGATGGAGGACAGAAGAAGGCAAAAGAGTATCAACATAACTCAGTATCAACAGCTGCATAATCAAATAAGAAGGAAAATAAGAGAAGCGAAAGAGACTTATTTCACTGGAAAATGCCAAGAAATAGAAGACTTACAAAACAAATATGATAACTTTAATCTTCATAAGAAAGTTAAAGAATTAGCTGGAGTAGCAAAATAAAAAACCTCAAGCATACTATTGGACAAACAAGGAAACATATTTATATAAATGAAAGAATATATAGCGGAATTATTCCATGACCAAAGACAGGAAAATATATATGAATATAATCAGGGTAAAGACGAGGGACCCGAAATAACAAAGTCAGAAGTTATGCATGCAGTAAAGTTCATGAAAAATAATAAAGCTGCTGGTCCAGATGAATTACCAAGTGAATTGCTAAAACTGGTCAATGAAAAAAACATAGATCTTTTAGTCCAAGTCCAAAAGTATCAATATTAGTTTCATTAAAGGATGTTGAGCTTGCCCAACTTGTAGGCTCGGACTTACGTAGAGAAAAATCTTCTTGTCTTCTTAAAAATTGACGTAGCCATTCCTTTGCCAGCTTTCTTCTTTTTTTTCCAGGGTAGATGAGACTTGTTATTTGCAGTTGCATTTAATTTCCGGAGTAAAAATCGAAACGTTAAACGTAATAAAAAATTGAATTTTTGTTCAAATCAATTGTGGCATAATCCCATATAAACATAATATTTAACTTAAACATGCCACAAGGAAACTGTTTCAAAAACATTTTAAATAAAACTCCTTGCGCCAATGATAGTAAAGTTACTATTCAAAATTACATAGTTCGTTTGATATGTATGTTTGATAGTGTATTTATTTTGAAGAAACAAATACGAAAAATGATTTATTGCATATTTTAAAGACCATATTTTTAGACATATTAGAAGTGAAGTACACAATACCAATAATATGAAGCTGGCAAAATTCAATTGCATATATAGCAAAAGTTAAAAATTCCTACCTTCATATAGAAAAAGTGTTCTCACACACTAATATTTTTGTATAGCTGTTTTAATACTTTGTACATAATATTTACCTAGTCAATATTAAATTAATGTTTCATAGGATTTTACTTCTTCAATTTTGTACTCGTATGTTCACGTGCCTAACTTTTTATAAAAATTGGTAATTATTTTATAACTCTAATCGAGATATCTTGTATAAAATTCATATAGTCCTTGGGCTTAGCATGGCCCTTTTAAAAATACAAAGCCAGAGCCTTTCTAACCCCCGCTATATTTATTGCTTAGCTTATTGCTTACCAAAATTTGGCATAAGTTAAGGTACTATATTTGTCAATGTACCTAGTACCTGGTACCAATTACCTGGTTTAGTTATACCCACTTCACGGACACAGTGGAGGTTACCCAGGAAACAGCACTAAGCTCGGGCTTTAGTCTGGTAGAGGTATCTTGGTCGGGATTCTTTACAGCTCAAATACAAGAGATACAAGAGTGAGGTGCGGAAGAGAAAGTGAAGAAAAGAGAATTTTGGGTGCCACCCTATCTGTGGATAGGGAATAGAGAAATTTAACAGACACGAGAGAAATAAGAAAAGACAACGAGAATAATACGAAAAAGATAAGGTATACTGTAGCAAAACAAATATAGAGAGGAGTATTTGTATCTCACGTTAATCACCAATTATTACGACACATATACATGCATAAAGATAAAATATTAAAATAGGTTCCTGAAAGAGATAATATTACTTACAATCAAAATAAATAATTTGAAAATGTGGTGAAAAAAAAAATAAGCAAATATCTTATCTAAAAAAAGTTATATTAATACGAGTTAAATTATTATGAAAACAAAAATGATAAACCTTGTATATAAATATAAACCTTACTATACACAGCTAACGAAAATAAATAATGAAAATATAGAAAATAATTATATTATAATATTCTGTAATATTTTTAATGGTTTTTAAGTCTAAATGTACCGAAATGATTATTCTCAAACTATTAGCGTGAATGAACCTAATAATGAACTATGGCACCTTGAGAATACATACTAAATAAATAATGATCATTACCCTTTCTTTGATAAATGTCACGAAAAAAATATACAAACTTAATATTAATAAAAAAAATAAAGTCACAGTTCTCCGTAGAGTAGCTAAATTATCCCAGACGGCTCTTCAGCAACGAAATATAATGCTTTTATTAGTCCTAATTTATTTTCTTTATTCTAATTTTTTAAAACTCACGATAATTTATCAAAAGTCTTTATTTTATACTAATTTATTTTACACTTAATAATTACAAATAATTTATTTGCGTTCGACACAATTTAACGCGAGATCGCGATCTTCTTTTTGACTGCCTGCTCAATGAAAATCTTCCGTTATTTATATGAAATCATGTGTTAAAATGGAACATCGTCGAAGGTTCGATGGCATTCTCGACTAGACAGAGTAGCGACTGGTCTCAAAACTGGTATGTTTTTCATCGGTTCTTCCCCAGAAAGTTCCATTGTTGTTTTTTTTTTTAGCGAGGGGACCCAAAGGGTGTCAGGTAGATTTTTGACCTAGAAATTACGAGAATCAATAAAAAAGAATTAGTCATAAAATATTTACAGTTCTATACGCCATAACATTTAAAATCGAAAAAAGAAAGTAAATATCAGTCGTAAATTAAATATCTGAGTTATCTCAATCAAGTCTTTTACACAAACAATTCGGTTTTTCGCTTTGATGTAAATAGGCACTACTTACAGAAAAGTAGAGCAAGAGAATAGAATAAGCACGAGTCGTCCTCAGGTAGCTAGTTTTCCTCTGGTTTTACTAATACCATAAACGTAGGAAGTAGTACAGTGAGGCTCCTGGCAGATGAGCGAAGGTACCGTAAAAGAACTGCAGGTTGGTGTATGATTGAAGTATATAGGCAAAGCATCGAACGGGCAAAGAGAAAGGACGTCAGAGGCAGTGTCGGTGAGGCAGGGCGTCAAACAGGCAACAAAGAGAAAGGCCGTCAGAGGCGGCGTCGGTCAGGCAGGCAGCAAAGAGAAAGTACGTCTAAAGCAGCGTCGGTGAATCAGGTAACAAAAAGGAACAGCAAATAGAGTTGATTACATGTATGCACGACAAGAGAGAAAATTTACTGTATAAATCGCTTTATGGAGAAAGATGGATAATGATGAATTGAAACTACACTTACCGTCGCGCGTCGTTTGATAAACATAACCGCATACAACAGAAACCACAACGAGAATGAATTAGATTTTTGATATTTAGGGATGAAAAAAGGGGGGAGTACTTGCTGGAGAGTGCCAAGCGAAAATGGTACTTAAGTGACAAATCCGATGTGGTCTTGTTTGCTATACTTTTCCTACTTTCTCCTGAAAAGGTTATTTCTTAGAAGAGCCACATCTCAGCTTTTCTTAGAAAATATGCTGCGTTGTTCCACAATAGGAACAAACTTCTTTGTTAAAAGGAAGAGTTTTTATTTAGCCAATAAAAGGTAATAAGGGAGCGGGACACTAACTGTGAGACATTTCGTTTTTTGCAAGCAGGCGTGAAAAATCGCTTGTTGCTTGAGAATTATTTCTAATAGATCTAGTATAGTATATGGACATAGGTGGCAGGAAAGTAATTGTTTGAGAGGAGCACTTGAGGACATTTTAAACATGCTTCATAATTATTCTTCATTTGACCTTAGTTAATCCCTTTATTCTAACACGTAAGTTAAAGAGTATGTCTAAGGTTAGTATAATAAAACTCAATTTTGATTTGCAGGAGTATCATTCCCTAAATACTGCAAGGATATGTGCGAGCAACTTAGTATAAGTGGATGGGTAAAAAACACTAAGAAAGGAACTATTCAAGGAAAACTGCAAGGACAAAAATCTAAAATAGACCACATGTAAGTAAATTTCGATTTTTATCCAGATCCAGATTTTCCTTAACATGTAGATATATATAGCTCTAACAGTTTAGTCATGGCTTCGTTGCTAATTTTTCTCCATGCATTACTATTTAGGATTGATTTTTCTGGGTGGTGAAGTTTATACTATGTAGTAATTACAATTAGGGTAGACCATTTTTTCGAGATATTTCTATATTTATCTTGCCTTTTGGATTTCAATTGAGTATTTTGTAATTTGAGTATATTTTACAAAGTTGCGACTGTTTTGGACTATCGCTAATACTCAACAGCCTATGGTCCACACTACTGTAAAGCATACCTAATAAGTACGAAAGTGAATTCCTCTAGTAATGAAAATATGAAACAGTATGAAAGTATGTTACAAATAACATGAATCCAAGAATACAGACCAACTACAATAAAAAAAAGCAAAAAATGCACGTAGAAAGAATGCATATTCCGAACATCTAATCGAAACTTTTTTCAAATCAAGTCTCAATAAATTTTACATTTTATGCACAACAATTTTACAACAATGCAAATAACAACAAACCCAACAGTATCAAAACTACTTATACAACTCTTTCATATATAAAAGGTTTATCCGAACAACTAACAAATTTTTTAGCCAAACATAATATAACAGTCGCCCACAAAGGCAACAACCTTTTAAATAAATATTTTACAAAACTAAAAACACAAACTGCAAAACTTAAAAAATCACATGTTGTTTACGAGTTATCATGTATTAACTGTGAAGATGTCTATATCGGTCAAACAAGTCAACTGCTTTAATCCAGAATTCTATCTCACAAATATGACAAGAACAACGTCACGAAGATATACGAATCAATAGAAATAAAAAGAAATACTAACGCAATAAATGACAAAAAAGATACACAAAACCTAAATAAAATATATTTCAATCTGATTTAAATAATAATAATATAACACAATAAAAAGCCCTTAAAGTCATAATATATCTCCACTTTACCTTTTTCGAAAACATCAATGGTACGCCCATATAAAAATAATTATACTAATGACAGTAAACCATGAGATATCAGATATCAACTTTTTTTGTCAGTTCGTTAATGTCTGTGTCCCGTTTTACGTTTTGGTAAGTCATATATATATATATAATATATATAATATAATATATATATATATATATATATATAATATATATATATATATACATATTTTACAATATCTGTTTGTTCTTATACAGGTACATTTTAGAATCTTGACAAAGGCAAAGGTTTCCTGCCGAAACGTTGATTGCTATGGAAAATAAAATCTAGTTCCACATGTAACATATATTATTGAACGAGACTTAGCGACACTCCCAAACCGGTTGAAAATTAATTGTGTCCTTATAATTTTGTCATAGTAGTACTTGTGATTGGAAGGAGTTTGTATATTAACAGCGAAAATGATGAGACGTGTTTTAGATATAAATCGACTAATATTTTATTTGCACGCTTATTTTACTTGAAAAGCAAAGAAGACCATATACAACCAGTTCAATCTGTACATAGATGAATGTGTGATGGTATTGGTTAAAATAGGTAGTCACTCCAGTGGATTTGGCTAAATTCATACATTCAATTGGAAGATGATATTGTTCTGAAGCTATTTTCTTGTGGCATTTTACTATTTAACTAATTACTATTTAAATGGTAATAAGCCACAATTAAAGGTTAAAGTACATTTATTGAAGTTTCAATTTCCACTTCGGTAATCGTTCTTCGAGAACGATTTCCTAAGTGGAAATTTTTGAAAAAAAGACCATAGTTTAACATTCCGAAGTATTCTACTAGTGTAAATTCCTGTTCTTTTGACATAATTTGGGGAGATTTATAGAAACGTATCATTTTTACTTCGGTATCAGAGCTATTCCTTTGTTTTTTCACGTATCTGAAATAGAAAGATTATTGTTTAGTGAAAAAATAAAATATTTTACGGGAAACCTAATCGATTTTCGTTTCCTTTACAATTTATATTGCTAAAGTCTGAAATGTGCAGTTCTGCTGAATTTCACAATGAAAACCCTTCTTTAGTGACTAATTCCACGGCTTCATTTGGCTCTCAGAATGTAGCAATTTTTATTTGTCTAGTACGTTGTGTCACTTGTAACAATATATTGCAATTGCTTATAGGGGGTTGAAAGGGGGAACTGAACAATTATTAGGCTGGAGATGGGGTAAGCAAATAAATTGAAACGTTTGCGAACGGCTACTCGTGTTTTGGTTGGAGAGTTAAGTCGTGGATAAAGATTTCTTTATTTGAGGGACTGGGGAAACTAACTACAAAAAAAAAACAAAAAAATACTTACAGAGATTTCCTGGGCAACACTACACAAGAAGATTCCTAATATATTTTTAAATGGGCGCCGTTTAAAAAAAATCCTCTTACTGGTTAGAAAGAAAGGCCTTTCTTTCCTAAAAAATTTTAAGGGTAAAAATCTTTTTAAAAGAAATAATTTTAAACTCCTGGTTTAAAGAGAAACATTACATATTTATTATTATTATTTCACATAAAAAGTTTTTTCAAATAAAATTATCCAAAGTTATCAACAGAGCTTACATTGAGTTTAACCTTTTTAACACAACAGAATTTAAAATTTTGGTTATGTACCGAATGACAGAGAACGGAAACTTTTCTGAATTAATAATTAATTATCAAGGTCAACTTTATTTAAAAGAAAACTAAAATATGACAAATAGCTGATCCATAAAACATATTTTTATAAAATTCCGTGGCACGGAATAAAGCAACAGACCGGTCATTATCTCACTTTACAAAGACTGCCAAACAGCGTTTTGAGATTAAATTTACTTCCTTCTAACTTATGGAATTAAACGAAAATTTTGCCGGTTTTTTGGAACTATCACCAAACAAGATCTTTCCCGTTCAGAACTCAATTTGCTTTCTTACTACACTTAACACTAACTGAATTCCCGATGTTACCGCTACTCTAATGAATTTTCAATGACAAATTCGTCATGATTTTAATAATTAAATCAACTGCCCTAGCACACGATTCATCGAAAAGTGGTCTCATTCTCAAAATCAAAAATCATTATCTTTCCTTTCGACCAACCTAATTGTAAAGATTCATATTTATTTCCTGCGTAATATCTAGGCGGAATCAAGATCAAACAAAATAGCAATTAAAATTATTATAAACAGACTCGAAAATGCTTATATTACCAATCTCAGAGAAGAAAAAAGTTTATAAATCTTTTTCGGACTATTTAATATATACGGGGTAAAACGGAAATGGTCTTAAAAAAAAAGAAGCAATATTAGTCTGTCTTTTTCTATTCTTTGCCATGATCTATAAAAAAACAAAGAGTATGAGTTTGTATTATTCAACTAACGTCCTCGATGAAGTACAGTAAGATGCGTCTCAGTCTGTCCCACTAAAGATTGTCTCATTTGTACCTTACATGTACAATTTCACCAAAGTGTGATAGTTTTTCTAAATTCAATAAAATAAAAGTAATATCGCCACGTAATTACATGCAAAAATACCTAAGATTTACTTACCATTAATATAAAAAGTACTAATTGCATAACTGAATAATATCGGTCGAAGTGAGAAACAATATATTTCCTTTCGGGAGTAAAAATCACGCTACCAGCTGACACGCAAAATCGAACAAGCGAACTGAAGCTCAGATTTGCTGGGTAGACTGTACTGACAACCTTATGGTGGGGGATAGCATGCAAAGCGCTGTTGTCATGTTCTCAGAAAATGCATTGTCTCACTGTGAACCTCTCTCCTACTTTTATTTTTTGTTAATTAACCAAAAAGTATTTTTATTCTAAATTTTTTGTAAGTGTTTAAAAAAACCCATTACATTTGGGCATTATTTCTTTAATTGCGCTGCAGAAATTTTTGAAAAAGGAAATTAAATTTTCCGAAAGCGTGAATCTTAAATAATAGTGTACTTTAATTTTAGTCCCAGTTTGACTTCAATACCTGACTAATAAGTGAAATTTGTTTATTTTCCAAAATTAATTAAGCGACTACTATTATATATATATACATATATATATATATAAATATATATAATATATATATATATATATATATATAAAATTAAGTGTTTCTTGGGTTTAGGTTCAATAAAGATATGTTACATGTGGAACTAGATTTTATTTTCCATTGCAATCAATCAACGTTTCGGCAGGAAACCCTTGCCTTTGTCAAGATTCTAAAATGTGTGTATATATATAAGGACAAACAGATATTTTTAAAATAATGTATATATATATAATGACTTACCAAAACGTAAAACGTGACACAGACATTAACGAACTGACATATAAAAGTTGATATCTGATATCTCATTGTTTACTGTCATTAGTATATAATTATTTTTATATGAGCGTATCGTTGATGTTTTCGAAAAAGGTAAGGTGGAGATATGTTATGACTTTAAGAGCTTTTTATGATGTTATATTATTATTGTTTAAATCAGATTGAAATATATTTTATTTAGGTTTTGTGTATCTTTTTTGTCATTTATTGCGTTGGTGTTTCTTTTTATTTCTATTGATTCGTATATCTCCCTCTTCTTTTTGTTTTTTTCTGTTTTTAAAATTCTGATGTTTTCAAAATCAAATTTATGCTTCTTCCCGCTTTCATGTTTTGTGAGCGCAGTGACGTTGTTCTTGTCGTATTTGTGAGAACGAATTCTGGATTGAAGCAGTTGACTGGTTTGACCGATATAGACACCTTCACAGTTTGTACATGGTATCTCGTAAACAACATGTGATTTTTTAAGTTTTGGAGTTTGTGTTTTTAGTTTTGTGAAATATTTATTTAAGAGATTGTTGCCTTTGTGGGCCACTGTTATGTTATGTTTGGCTAAAAGATTGGTTAGTTGTTCAGATAAACCTTTTATATATGGAAGAGTTGTATAAGTGGTTTTGATACTGTTGGGTTTGTTGTTAGTTGTATTGTTATAAAATTTATTGAGTCT